ACACCTCTGTTCTCTGCCCTGTACCCCACCCCACCCGCCCCTGCCCTCCTCTTGTCCCTGACTGAACACTGAGCTCCCATAAGGGCACTCTAAACATTCGTCTGAGTGGATTGAATTGTTGATGCTTTCACCATAGTCAGATCAACTGCAGGCCATGCGGGAACCTGAACGGGAAATAGGGAATTGCCCTTACTACGACACACAGCATGGCCCTGGTCAATTGCTGCTTTCGCTTGTCCTTGACTTCTGCTCCAGAGTCTTAGTCTGCTTGCTCTGAGGATTTTCCGCAAGCATTTGGCTGGGAGAGAAGATATACATTACACTATGCTTGGTAATGCATATGAAAGTGCCTACATTCCCATACCATACAACCTGTTTCTTCCTAAGAAACGTAGTAATAATGTATATGAATTATGCAAGCCTTTGAAGATATAGACAGAAAGGAAGAAAATAAGGCACCATAAGCCTGTCAGAGTTAACAGTTAACCCCTGTCAACATTCTGATATTTTGGTAAATATTCTTTTAGATATATAATGATATATATTAAAAACCGTAAAAATAGAATCATATTGTATATAACGTTGGGTAACCAGCTTTTTAAAAACTTGATAATATACCATACACATCTATGCATTGAGTATTTTAAAAATATATTTTAATGACTGCATATTAATTCAGTAAATAGGTGTACAATATTTATTCGATCACCTCTGGACATTTTTTAAAATTGAGGTATAATTGACATATAACCTTATATTATTTTTTGTATACAACATAATGATTCGATAATGTATATATTTCAAAACGATCACCAATATAAGTCTAGTTAATATCCATCATCACACATATTTACAATTTCTTTTTCTTGTGATGAGAACTTTTAAGATCCACTCTCTCAGCAACTTTCAAATACACAATACAGAGTATGCTAACTATAGTCCCGATGCTGTACATTACATCCCCAGGAATTATTTATTTTATAACTGGAAGTTTGTGCCTTTTGACTCCCTTCATCCATTTTGCCCACCCACCCCACCCCCTGCCTTTGGCAACTTGCAGTCTGTACTCGGTAACTATGAATTCAGTTCTTTCTTTCCTTTTTTTTTTTTTGGCAGAGGGAAGAGTCTCCTTAAGCTAACGTCTGTTGCCAATCTTCCTCCTTTTTTCTTCCTCCCCGCACCCACCCTTCCCCTGCCAGAGAAAGCCCCAGTACATAGTTGTGTATAGTTTGAAGTTCTTCTGTCTGAGCTGCCGCCACAGCATGGCCACTGACAGACGGGTGGTGTAGTTCTGGGCCTGAAACCAAACCAGCTGTCGAAGTGGAGTGCACCAAACACTAACCACGAGGCCATCAGGGCTGGCTCCAGTTCTTTTTTTTTGACTCCACATATCAGTGAGATCATACAGTATTTGTCTTTCTCTGTCTGACTTATTTCACTTAGCATAATACCCTTAAGGTCCATCCATGTTGTTGCAGCTTGGGACATTTTTTTCTTTGGTCATAAACCATGCAGGGGTGAACACCTTTTGGTCAAATGTTTGTGAATATCCATGATCAGGTGAAATGTCTTAAGATAGCTCATTCTGTGAGAATTTTATTGCAGGTAAATTCAATTCACTGAATGAGAGATGTGAACATTAATTCAAGGGTTGCATGCAGGGGCAAATCTAAACAAACCCAATACAGTCTCTCTCCCCTCTTTCTCAGTGTTTTTATGAGCTCCTCTTCAATGCCTTTCTTGAAACTCCCTTTTTAGGAAGATTCGTTCATTTACTCATTCATTCATATATTCACTCACTTAACATTTACTAGATCTCTAAGTCCTTGATGTGTATTTTTTATTTTGAACCAATAGAACATAAAAAAAGAGGAGGAAAAGAAAGAAAGAGCAATGTAGCAAAGAATAAGTTAAAAAGTCCCAAAATGGAACAAGTGATTTTATGAAAACATGTTTTGGGGAATTTCCCTGCCCCCTACTGTTTAAAGTAATTTAATGCCTTCAACCTCCCGTTAGCAATGTAACGGCATTAAAACACTAATCTATTTATATTATGGGGGAGATTTCTTTTGTATTTGTACAGTATGTTTTATTTTACCGTGATAAGAACACTTTACATGAGATTTACCGTCCTAAATTTTTTGGTGTACAAAACACTATTGTTAACTATAGACACAACTTTGTACAGCAATCTCTAGAACTTATTCATCTTGCTTGACCAAAACTTTATGCCTATTGATTAGTAATTTCCCATTTCTCCCTCCTTCCAGGCCCTGGCAACCACCATTCCACTCTTTGATTCTATGAATTTGACTCTTTTAGATGCCTCATATAAGTGGAATCATGCAGTATTTGTCCTTCTTATATGACTGGCTTGTTTCCCTCGAGATCCTGAGTTCAATTCTTTTGGATAAGTACCCAAAGTAGGATTGCTGGATCATATGGTATTTCTAGTTTTAATTTTTTGAGGAATCTCCGTTCTGTTTTCCCTAGTGGCTGCACCATTTTGTATTCCCAACAACAGTGTACAAGTGTTCCAGTTTCTCCACATCCTTCCTAGCACTTGTCTTTTTTTCTTTTTTTTCCATGATAGCCATCCTGACAGGTGTGGGGTGATATCTCAGTGTGATTGCATTTCCCTTATGCTTGGTGACATTGAGCATTTTTTCATGTACCTTTTGGCTATTTGCATGTCTTCTTTTGAGAAATGTCTATTCAAATCCTTAGCCCACTTTTAAAACAGGTTATTAGTGTTTTTACAACTGAATTGTTGAACCTATTATATATTTTGGAGATTAACACCTTATCAGATATATGGTTTGCGAATATTATCTCCCATTCCATAGGTTGCCTTTTCACTCTGTTGATTGTTTCCTCTGCTCTGCAGAAGCTGTTTGGTTTGGTGTCATCCCACTTGTTTATTTATGTTTTTACTGCCTCTGCTTTTGGTGTCATATTCATGAAATCATTGTCAAGACCAATGGCAGGAATTTTTTACTCTATGTTTTCTTCCAGGATTTTTACAGTTTCGAATCTTATGTTTAAGTGTTTATTCCATTCTGAGTTGATTTTTGCGTGTGGTGTAAGATAAGGGTCTAATTTCATTCTTTGGCATGTGGACATCTAGTTTTCCCAGCACCATTTGCTGAAGGGACTATCGTTTCCCCATTGTGCATTCTTGGCACCCTGTCGAAGATCGGTTGACAATATATGCATGGATTTATTCCTGGGCTCTGCTTAGTTCCGTTGGTTTGTATGTTTGTCTTTATGCCAATACCATACTGTTTTGATTACTGTAGCTTTGTGGTATAGTTTGAAATCAGGAAGTGTGATGCCTCCAGATTTGTTCCTCAAGATTGGTTTGGCTATTTGTAGTTCCATATGAATTTTAGTTGTTTTTTCTATATCTGTAAAAAATGCTATTGAGATTTTGATGGGAAATGCTTTGAATCTGTAGATTGCTTTGGGTAATATGGACATTTTTAACAATATTACGTCTTCGAATCAGTGGACACAGGATGTCTTTCTATTTGTTTGTGTCTTGCTTAATTTCCTTCATCAGTGTTTCGTGGTTTTCAGTATACATGTCTTTCACCTCCATAGCGAAGTTCAATCCTAGATATTTTATTCTTTTCAGTACTTTTGTCAAATGGGATTGTTTTCCTAATTTCCTTTTCAAATAGTCCATTGTTAATACATAGAGATACAACTGATTTTTGTATGTTGATTTTGTATGCTGCAACTTTACTGAATTTGTTCATTAGTTCTAACAGGTTTTTTATAGAGTCTTTAGGGTTTTCTAGATATAAAATCATGTCATCTGCAAAGAGGAAGAATTTTACTTCTTGCTTTCTATTTTGGTCCTGTGCTGAAAGCGGTTATCCTTGCCTTATTCCTGATCTTAGAGGACAAACTTTCAGCTTCTTACCACTGAGTATGATTTTAGCTATGGGCCTTTCATATATGGCCTTCATTACGTTGAGGCCATCTCCTCTAACCCTAGTTTGTTGAGAGTTTTTATCATGAAAGGTTGTTGAATTTTGCCAGACACTTTTTCTGCATCTATCAAGATGATCATGTGATTTTTATCCTTTTTTCTATTACTGTGGTATAGCACATCAGTTGGTTTTTTATGTTGAACCATCCTTGCATCCGAGGAATAAATTCCGCTTGGTGATGGTGTATGAAGCTTTTAATGTGTTGTTGAATTCAGTTTGCTAGTATTGGGTTGAGAATTTTTGCATCTATATTTATCAGGGATATTGGCCTGTAGTTTTCTTTTCTTGTAGAGTCTTTGTCTGGTTTTGGTATTAGGGTCATACTGATCTCTTAAAATGAGTTTGACGGTATTCCCTCCTCTTCAATTTTTTGGAAGAGTTTGAGAAGGATTGGTGTTACTCTTAATTAAATGTTTGGTAGAATTCACTCGTGAAGCCATCTGGTCCTGGGCTTGCTTTTGTTGGGAGGTTTTTCATTACTGATTCAATCTGCATACTAGTTATAGGTCTATTGAGGCTTTCTATTTCTTCAGTCCTCTGGGGATCCCCCCTGGAAAATTTGGGGCTCTGGAGGCATGAACCAATCTCTTCCCTCCTGTGTAAAGCTGGGGGCTGGGAGATCTCTTCCTGCTTATGCTCTGCCAGGGGCAGGGTCTCTGGTGAGAGGGTGTCCCAAATCTCCCTACCAACTTTGGTGAGTCTGGTTTCGCATTCTCCTGGGATGCAGGAAGCTTTAAATTACCTTCTGATTTTTCGCAAAGGGAATCGGTCCATGAATTGTTGCTGTTTGGCATGTTTGTGGGGGAAGGAGGGTCTTGGACTTCCTACTCTGTCATCTTGCTGATGTCACTCCTCTGGGGAGGGAGATATTTTTAACTACCCTCAAATTTTCTCATTATACACTTAAGGCTAAAGGCATCTTTTGGGACCTGATATTCAGAATACTCTACTTATTGGAAATGATTTTTAATAATTTATTGATGTTATCTTTATTCCATTTAGATAACATGAAGTCCCCGATTTCAATAAATCTTGAACCCTGTATCGAACTGAAGGGAACCAGAGGTCATTTGCACATGCTCTTCGTTCCAAGTAAGTCAAAAGTTTTGTTTTTGTACATCAATTACAAGGGCTCAAGAAATGTCAACGATAAATGATTGTGTTCCAAAGATACATGTATTAGTTTTCTATTGCTATGTAACAAATTACCACAATTTAGTGGACATCTATTATCTCATTGTCTTTGTCTGTCAGTAGTCTGGGCATGGTTTAGCTGTATCTGCTTCAGGATCTCTCATAAGGTTGCCGTCCAGACTTCTGAAGGCTCAGCTAGGGAAAGAGTCACTTCTAAACTCATTGGTAGTTGACAGTATTCCGTTCCTGTCTGGCTTTTGGCCAGCCCTCGGTTCCTTGCCATATGGGCCTTTTTAACATGACTTCTTGCTTTGTCAGAGCCAGCAAGGGGGACAGTCAGCTGACAAGGTAAAAGTCACAGTCTTATGTAGCCTAATCACAGAAGTGTCACTCTATTATCTTTGGTGTATTCTATTTGTTAGAAGCAAGTCACTAGACTAGGTCAGACTCACAGGAGGAGATTACACGATGGCATGGGGTGAAAATGGAAATAACTTGGGACTTCTAACAGTCTAATAGATATATCCTTTGTCGACCATCAGCTATTCAGCTGATGAGCAAAGCTGGATCTCCACTAGTCAAAGATCTATGTATGAGCAAGCCAGGATTTTTTTTTCTCAAGATGACCTTTCTAGAAAAAAAAATGATGAGGAGGAAATAAAAGAATGTGATTATATTTTGGGTTTTGTGTGTGTTGTGTCTTGTTTTTCCTCTCTATGATTTTACTTGTCATTAGCTTAATAAAAACTGAATTGGGTGATGGTGCTGGCATTGGGCTGGATCTGAGTGTCTGTGAAAACAAACAAAACTTTCATCCTCTCCTCCCAGTCAGGTTTGTTGCCTGTAAGCCCTAGGATCCCAGGAAACTTCATTTCTAATCATCATCATTATCATTATTGTTTTCATCCTCACTATCATCATTTATATCCTAGTTTATATTTGGAGCTTATGCTTTATAAAGCACTTTCACATAAATAAGCTAAAAGAAACATTTTCCCCCTGATTTTAGTTCTCCAGCTTATAAGAAAAAAGGTAGCTGAGAACCCAGATATGATAGACAGTAAACTTGTGGTTTAATTTTCCTGAGTCTAGTTGTTCAAGCTGTATTTTGACACTTTGTTTCTGTATTCATTAAAAATTACTTACTAAATGCGTAGTATATTTCAAGTATTCTGCCAGGTACTTTGAATTCATTGATAAATAAGACATTCTTTTGACCTTCAAGAATCTCTCAGTGTGATGCAAGGGACAGGTCTGTAGATAATATGGTATGGTAAGTGAAATGATAGCAGCAAGGCTTAGTGGTAGCAGAGAGGAAAGAATAATTGACTTTGTCTGCTGCACTTTCTTGGCCAATGGTAAAAGAAATAATCTATACTTTTGCCTATAAGGCTCTACAATTTTTTCCTCTTTCCTTGGGTTTTGCTTTCTGGTCTCTGTGGCGTGCTTTACCCCCAGATGTTTGGCAGAGGTGATTATTTCATAACAAATGATCTCATTTTCAAGTGAACCCCTTGCCCTTACACACAGGGAGCAGGTAGTATCCTTCCTGGCCCAAGTGATAATAATAAAATACAGTACCATTTAGGGTTCTCTGAAAAGCAGATGTCAAGAAGGAATTAGACATACAAGGGACTTATTGGGGGAAATGCTTGTGAACAATAAAGGGAAGAGAAAACCAGAGCAGGTAAGGAGAGAATTCAGATTTAGGTGCAGGTCTGGAGTCTTTGAAATAGGAGTGGGAACGAAGGAGAATCTGGTAGGATGGTCATGAGACAAAATGCATCCCTGAGACACTCTCAGCCTGGTCAGCAGGGAGCCTTGGAGTCACAAGTGTCCCATGACAGACAGGACTAGGCTGGCTCCAGTGTCTTTGTGGTACTCGGTCATTATAGCAGAAGCCTGTGAGAGTTTGGACCCTGGGTGGGTGCTGAGATGGATCTGAAGGTGCAGCAGCTGGAGGCTGTCTGTCGCTTCCCTCCTCCCAGCAAGTTCTTTGGAAGGGAGGTTTAAGTAGCATACCTCTGTGGCCACTACAAATACCTTAATCATTCAGTAAATATGGCATTTATGTAATATTATATTAATTCAGTAACAAAGGAATTATTTAGTCATATTTTTTATACTGCCTCTCAATTATGAGCTAAGTTTCCCTAGAATATACTAGAATGTCTATATAAGGTGTGGGGTAGGGCCGGCCTGGTGGTGCAGCAGTTAAGTTTGCATGTTCCGCTTCTCAGTGGCCCGGGGTTCGCCGGTTCAGATCCTGGGTGTGGACACGGCACCGCTTGGCAAAAGCAATGCTGTGGCAGACGTCCCACGTATAAAGTAAAGGAAGATGGGTATGGATGTTAGCTCAGGGCCAGTCTTCCTCAGCAAAAAGAGGAGGATTGGCAGTAGTTAGCTCAGGGCTAATCTTTCTCAAAATAAATATAAATAAAGTGTGAGGTCACATTCATAGAAATCAACCTTATTTTTATGGCCCTATCTCTATTTAAATTCAGTAAGAGCTGTAAGTACAACCTCGACCCAAAAATAGATTGGGAATGGAAATTATTTGTTTTGAGACTTTATAGCCTTGCTAGTAAATTACTTGTATATGAATAACTGATTGACAGATAAATAAAGCTGGACCATAAGCTTCTCTCAAAGTTATTTCTAAAAGTTCCTGGAGTTGTCTTAGGTGAGCTCAGAAACAGTCTTCTTTGTTGCCACATGACAGCCACCGTGTCTCTTGTCTCTCACTGCAACACATACATTGATATCTCCAGCTGCTGAGCCACACAAGTGGTCATGTGCCTAACATGACCACAGTGAGCTCCAAGGGCAAGAAGCTGCTCAAGATGTAAACTGTTGAGATGTCAAAGCAGCATTCCCTTTCTTGGAGTGACTGAAAGCTAGAATCATGCTATGTTCCATGCAGAAGTGAAGGAAGGTCCCTTGTCCTGCATTGTCACTGGACACCACAGCAGTACAGCTGTGTGCCAGTGTCTCAAGGAATTCATTGTGAACACAGCTCTTCAACTTCTATATACATCCCTGCTTTTTGAGAGGATCAGACCCAAGTCCATGGAGTGGGCCATGGGACCACTGTTTGAAACAGACCCTATGGTGTTCTTCTTCTCCACACTTTACCCTAAAAGTAGAGAAATGGAGATAAATTTGGAAGTTTGGTAGTACTTTAGGCTCACAGTAATGAGAGCCTGCATTAAGACAGTGGTAATGGGGATAAAAAGGAAGCTAGTAAGATTAACTGGGGTTGGGAATTCTAGAGCTGATTTAGTGATGAAGATGAGAAAGTCAATTTTGGATCTGTTGGCTAAGGTCATAAATAGCTCATACATATAATTTTTAATCAAAAGGTTCAGTTTTATTCTCCAAGAAATCTTTCATCAAGAGTCCTAAAAAAGTAGTCATGAATTGATTATCCTCACTTCCTTTCCTTTCCTTTTCCTTTCTTTGGAACTTCCTAGTAGAACTGTAAGTAGAACTGGAAATTTTATATCTTCATTTGATAGTTTTCTTAAAAAAATAGGTTCCTCTATTTTTAGACATACCACACATTATTCTTACTGTGGAACATTCTATTTGATTACAATCGCCTGGTTGCCCTCTCAGAACTTGAGTTTTCTCATCTGCAAAACAAGAATAATAATACCCACATTATAAGTAGTTGTAATGATTAGATGAAATAACATAGGAAAAGCAAGTGGCATATTTTAAGTATACAATAAATGTTAATTATTATTTATAAAAGAATCTCCCATTTGAGGGCTAATGAGATTTTGTTTTTCTTTTTAAGGAAGAGATATAAAAAAATTATATTTCAACCTCTATCTAACTATGAACTCTCTGGAGTTTCCAATGCGTAAAGAGGTTATTTGCCGAGGATCTGATGATGACTATTCTTTTTGCAGAGCTCTGAAGGGAGGTAAGCATTCAATTTACATTACTCTCAGAATAGAATAGAATATGAGAATGTTGTGAAAATTAAATGCACTGAAACTGTGAGTTCTTTTTCTGATAATAATTCTTTATTTCCATCCAAAGTTTTTACTTTGAGCAGCTTAAACGTTTTACAATTATGTCACTGAATTGTTATTAAGGTGACACTTATTTGAGTGTGTTTGAAGAGATATTAAAATTTTTACCTTGTTCACTTTCATATTGTACATTTATGCTTGGTTATGGATATCTTTTACGAAACATTACATTTATTATTTTTCACAGAAACTCACTAGACTTTTCTATGCAGCTACATTTGTTTCTTCAATGTCTCCACCCTCCCTTTTTTCCATCATGGAATTATTCACAGAATCGTAACATTTCAGATTTATAACTTTAAGGGTCGCTTATTACATACCCGTGAATTTTTCCTTAATAATTTTTAAACTAGTGTTTTAAATAGTTTAAAAGATTATAAATATCATACTATCACATTACCAAAAATTGGAAACTATAAACTGTGATAGAGTCACAGAATCATATTTCTAAAAACGTTTTGGAGTATTTCCTTCTCATTTTTAAATCTATGCATATTGTTTGTGTAGTTTTAAGTACACTATACAATTATTTTCTTTTTAAAAATTAATTGATTTAATTCTTTGACTAGATATGCCATGGGGTTCAAAAATCAGAGTGTAAACATTACACAGTGAAACGTCTCCGTTAGTGGGTATGCCCTAGTTCACGTCTCCATTCTCTTTATTGCGCATTTAGTTTCCTTCTGATATTTTTACTATTATAAATAATATTATAATAAATATATTTCTGTATATAATTTTCCTCATATTTTAGATTTGAATAGTCACATGTTGGAAGAAGGAGTTACAGATAACTCTCAGGGAGATTTCTGAGCTTAAATGGTTTGAATATATTTGTTGTTTTGTTTACATAAGGCCAAATTGCTTTTCTAAAGGACTACCAATTTATACATTGTACCACTGCAATGTGTGTGTGTGTAGTGGTTCAATCTCTGTCTTGTTAACACTGAGCATTATTATTTAAAATAAAGAAGTTTAAAAACCAAACTTTATTAGGTAAAAACTTGTACCTAATTGTTATGTTAACATTTTTTTATTACTATTACAGTTGAATGTTTTCCCATGTAATTATTTACCCTTAACCTGTGCCCTCTCTTGTTTAAAAAAGATTTCAGATAGTTTACATGCACACATTGAATTTAGCAATGTAGCATAAATTAGATATAGATGGGGCAAGAAATGGAAAGTAAGTGTAGAGAATTAATGGAATGAGAGTAGTATAAAAATTCGTAATAGAAAAGCTTATACTTGCTTTGACAAGTACATCAATTTGATTATACATTCTATCAGTCATTAAGAAAATAATTTCTGAGTAAATCAACGTGCTTGCTGTGCAAACGTGTGTCTCCCAACTAACCATCTTTCCAGGTCTCTAGCTTGTCTGCAACCCCCGAGCCACATACCACTCACGGAGGTGGCTTTGTTTATGAGTCTGGGCTCAGAGTCGCAAAGAGCCTGTGTCTCAGCTTTTCCATCTAGCAGCAATGTAACCCTGGGTGTGTTATTTAATCTCTACAGCCTCGTTTTCCTCATCTGTAAAATGAGGACAGTAAAACCTATTTTACGTGGTTTTAAGGGTTAATTTAGAGAATGTGTGTAATAAAGCTTGGTACAGTGCTCAGAGTGAGAATTTAAGATTGTGGCTATTGAATAATAAATAGTCACGTGGATAACAGGAAGCCTTTTCTTCCTGATTTTACAGTCCTGTCATTTTTACGAGTGAGGAAGCGGATGTCTGTAGTGGTCAGTGACGTGCCCTTGCTCATGTGGAGAACTGGTAACGGAGTGGCCTCTGACTCCTAAGGCTTGCTCTTCCTCTGTACCATGCTTTCTCTTTAAAAAAATCCTCTTGGCAGATCACTGTTTTTTAAAACAACTGTTTTACAATTACTTCACATAATCTCTGGAGATTATGTTGACATTTTACCTGAATTTTTGGAGTGTCACTTTCTTGATATCTAAGATGTGTCCGACTCCACCCAGGCTGCCGGCTTCTTCCCTCCCTCCCTTCCTTCCTCAGACATCTATTGAGCATAATTGGAGCAAGGCGTGATTTAGACTCTGGTGATCCAAAGTTGGATGATAGGTTCTCCCTCCCCAGAAGGTCACTCTGTTCCAGAAAAGACAGTCATGGGAACAAAAATTACAACAAAATGTCATAAATGCTCATAGAATTATATGCTCTTAGATTTAGCGATATAGTTATCAGTTATTTACTGTGACAGGAGAACTCAGCTAAGGCTTCAGAGAATATTTTATTAGAGTCTTGAATCTGAGAACATCAGAGTGGGGAGGAAGGACATTCCCTGGAGGGGAAACAGCATATGCAAACACCTGGAGCCATGAAAGAATATGGTTTCTTTGGAGAGTGGTTTTTTTGTAGCTGGAGCAGAATGTGCTTGTCGGGAATTACTGGAGATGAGCCTAGAAAAGGGGACATGAGTGAGCATGAAAGTCAGGTGCAAAATATTGGCTTGCATCCTGTTGTCAGTGAGTAGGGATGATCCACTGAGATTCCCATTTTTGCAGATAACTAGTGTCCATATGGAAGGAGGCGGAAGTTGGCTGAGGCAGGAAACTTGGGTGGAAGGAAGAGCAGCTGGGAGGCTGTGTGAGAGACCATGAGGGTTGAACAAAGATGGCGGCCCTGGCAGTAGAGGGGAGAGGAAAGAGAGGTTATTGGGAGACAGGACTGGCTGCACCTGCCCCCTGATTTTATGTGGTAGGCAAAGATTAGGGAAAATCAAGAGTCACTCAAGGCCCATGCCTGAATGAATGCAAGTGCCATTTTCTGAAATGATGTATGCAAAAGAAGAGGCAGATTTTTAAAAAAAAATTTTTATTGAGATTATGATAGTTTACAACCTTGTGAAATTTCAGTTGTACATTACTGTTTGTCAGTTGTGTTGTAGATGCACCACTTCACCCTTTGTGCCCACCCCCACCCCACCCCCTTTCCCCAGGTAGCCACTAATCTGTTCTCTTTGTCTACATGTTTAACTTCCACATATGAGTGGATTGTACAGAGATTATCTTTCTCCATCTGGCTTATTTCACTTAACATAATACCCTCAAGGTCCATCCATGTCGTTGTGAATGGGATGATTTTATCCTTTTTTATGGCTAAGCAGTATTCCATTGTATATATATATACCACATCTTCTTTATCCAATCATCAGTTGATGGGCACTTAGGTTGCTTCCACATCTTGGCTATTGTAAATAATGCTGCGATGAACTTAGGGGTGCATGGGACTTTTGGAATTGCTGACTTCAGGCTCTTTGGATGGATACCCAGTCGTGGGATGGCTGGGTCATATGGTATTTCTATTTTTAATTTTTTGAGGAATCTCTATACTGTTTTCCATAGTGGCTGCACCAGTTTGCACTCCCACCAGCAGTGCATGAGGGTTCCTTTTTCTCCACAACCTCTCCAACATTTCTTACTTTTTGTTTTGGTTATTTTTGCCATTCTAATGGGTATAAGGTGATATCTTAGTGTAGTTTTGATTTGCGTTTCTCTGATGATCAGTGATGATGAACATCTTTTCATGTGCCTATTGACCCTCTGTATATCTTCTTTGGAGAAATGTCTGTTCATGTCTCCTGCCCATTTTTTGATCGGGTTGTTTTGATTTTTTGTTGTTGAGTTGTGTGAGTTCTTTATACATTATGGAGATTAACCCTTTGTTGGATATATGACTTGCAAATATTTTTTCCCAATTAGTGGGTTGTTTTTTTGTTTCAATCCTGTTTTCCCTTGTCTTGAAGAAGCTCTTTAGTCTGATGAAATCCCATTTGTTTATTCTTTCTATTTCCCTTGTCTGAGAAGACATGGTGTCTGAAAAGATCCTTTTAATACTGATGTCAAAGAGTGTACTGCCTTACCTTTAGGTCTTGGATCCATTTTGAGTTTATTTTTGTGAATGGTGAAAAAGAATGGTCAATTTTCATCCTTTTACATGTGGCTTTCCAGTTTTCAAGAAGGGGCAGATTTTTAAAGAGAAAGATAATAGTTAAGGTTTGGGCATGTTGAGCTCAAGGTAATTTTGGAACATTCAAATAAACAAGGCCATCTGGCAGCTGGGTATATGGGCCCAGAGCTCAGGACATTCTGATTTAAGCAGCATTGATGCTACCAAGAGACCCTTGACAATTTGGGAATCGAATTAGAAAGTACCATAAGTCTTTACTTTTAAAATAACTTTCCTTTTTGTATTTGTTACAGAAGTCATATATTTTTAGGATTTGATATTTAGAAAATATGGCCAAGCAAAAATAAAATAAAAATTACCCACAATCTTACCACTTCTTACACACACATACACACAGATATGCACACAATCTTTGTTTCTGTCAAAAATGTATTTATGGATAAATAAATGGATATTTCAAAGGCATCTTAAACTTAATAAGCCCATTATTCCTGTTTCCAGAATTTTGCTAGGGTTGCTATAACAAAGTACCACAAACTGAGTGGCTTAGAACAATAGAAATTTATTGTCTAACAGTTCTGGGAGCTAGAAGTCCAAGATCAAGGCGTTGGCCGGGCTGTACTCCCCCTGAAGGCACTAAGGAAGTATCTGTTCCAGTTGTCTCTCCTAACTTCTGGTGGTTCCAGGCGATTCTTGCCTTGTTGATGGCCATTTTCTTCCTGTGTCCCTTCACAGTCTTCCCTGTATGCATGTCTGTCTCTGTGTCCAAATTTCCCTTTTTTCTTATGAGGACACAGTCATATTGGATTAGAGCCCACTTTAATGACCTCAACACACTTCAACCCATAACACCATCTGAGGCTTGGGTCCTGCATCCTGCCTAGTTGCCAGGAGGAATGGACTGGACCACAAGTGAGCTGCTTGGATACCTTTTGAGAAGAGTGGAGTACAGTC